AATCATTTGGCAGGTAATCGCAAAGATGTAGCGTCGTGTAAGCATTGCCCTGAGGAAGTAACTAAAATTTTTAAGCAATTGTTGGATGATAGGGCTTTAAGCAAAGATATCAGTCTTGTGGATTCGAAAAGTAGTGACGTGTGGATAGTACTACTGTTGATAAAATACAACCAACCACCACCATTACTTTGAATACCATGTTGAAGAAAAAGGGTAGGGAAGATGTATGCTTGGATATTTGTAGATGTTTTTATGCTAATGCCCTTCCTTTTAATTTGGTAAAGGGATCCATATTTGGTAAGAATGCTAGAATCTATTACATCGTTTGGCAAGGGATTGAAACCTCCATCGTATCATGAGGTGAGATGTTNTGCAACAATTTGTTATCCGCGTCCTTAGCTTGACTTGTAGTGCCACAGGATATGAGAGGAATTGGAGTACATTTGACCAGGTGCACTCTAAGAGGAGAAATTGATTAGAGCAGCAAAGATTAAGTGCACTTGTGTATGTGAAGTACAATCTTCGATTGGAGGCAAGACACCAAAAGAGAATACTAGAGGGTGATTCCTATGATCCTATTTCTCTCTCAGATATGGAATCTGATGATGAGTGGATCACTGAAAAAGAAGATTCACTCCTTCCTGAGGACACTACCTGGATGAATGTTGATGAGTGTTTTGAGGTTCAAAAAAGGACTAGCAAAAAGAGAAGGAGAGGTAAATAATATATAATTAAAATGTAGTGGTTGTTTTTTCTTCTTCTCCATTACTTTGATTTTTTTTTATATATATTTTATATTGGTTGCTTTGTAGGGCCTAGAAATCTTTCTTTAAACAAGAAAAAAGGGAAACAAAAAGTTCAACTTGAAGATGAGGATGAGGATGAACAAATACAAGAAGTTGAAGATGATGAAGGAAGTGAAGACTTGTTGGCATCCGATCACAATGATGATGTTGCATTTTTAATTGAAATTGAAAATTGAGTTCAAAATGGATGTTAAAATTTTGGATTAGAAGTCTTTCTGGTGTTTGAAGTTTGAATTAGTGAACTATGGTTGTGGACTTTGCATTATAATAGTAGTGGATTATGTTGATGACTTGAATAGTTAGTTGAATATTAATGAAATGCTATGTTTTTATGAGTGTATGACTTTTTTTCAAAGGTATATATATTTTTTTATTATTTATTTAAAATTGCACCGTATCTTACGATACACGATACGATACAATATTTGTATCTTACGATACACCTTTTGATACATGATTTGATAACTATGATTGTCGCACATTTGAATTTAAAACTATATCAAATGGATGTTAAAACTGCATTTCTGAATGGAGAACTGGATGAGGAGATCTACATGGATCAACCTGAGAGTTTCATGGTGGTGGGTCAGGAGAACAAAGTATGTAAACTCCAACGATCTATTTTTGGCCTGAAACAGTCATCCAGACAGTGGTATCTAAGGTTTCATCGAGCTATCATTTCTAATGAGTTTTCGATGATTGATGAAGACTATTGTGTGTATGTTAAACGGTCCAAAGATAGCTTCTTGATTCTATCTTTGTATGTTGACGATATTTTATTGGTTGAAAATAATAAGGAAATGATTATAATTACTCAAAAGTGGTTGTCCTCAACATTTGAGATGAAGGACTTGGGCGAATCAAGTTATGTGCTCGGAGTTAAGATCCTAAGGGATCGTTCTAAGAAACTTCTTAGTTTGTCTCAAGAGTCTTACATTAAGAAGGTTCTTGAACGATTCCAGATGCAAAACTGCAAACCCATAGACACTCCTATAGCAAAAGATGAGAGCCTAAGCCTAAAGATGTGTCCTAAGACTCCTAAGGAAAAGGAAAGGATGACTCCTGTTCCCTATGCCAATTTTGTAGGTAGCTTAATGTACGCTATGATGTGTACATGTCCCGATATTTGCTATACGGTAGGCCTAGTTTGTTGTTTTCAGTCAAATCCTAGAATAACTTATTGAAAGGCAGTCAAAAGGATACTACAATATCTCAAAGGGATTTCAGATTATATGCTATGCTACTAGTCTCCAGATTTACGGATGGTTGGTTATAGTGATGTTGATTGGGGTGGTGATATAGATGAACGCAAGTCCATATCAGGATATACTTTCTTACATAATGGTGGGGCCATTACATGGAGTAGTAAAAAGAAATCATGCATATCCTTATCCACCATGGAACCAAAATGTGTGGCTTGTTATACTACTGTACACGAAGTGGTTTGGTTAAGAAGGTTCTTTCAACATCTAGGAGTTGTCACAAATACCTTGGGCCCAGTGAAGATTCATTGTGATAGCATGGTTGCATTAGCTTATGCTAAGGATCCTAAGTATAATGGAAGAACCAAACACATAGACCTAAGATATTATTACATTAGAGACATGATTGCACAAAAAGAAGTAATCTTGAACCACATACCTACAACTCAGATGGTTGTAGACCCCTAACTAAGCTTATAACAAGAGATGTGTATATGACTCATGTTAGAACTCTAGGACTTCATAGGTATTGATTATGTGTTAGAGATTGTATGGATCACATACTCATTTGTGTTAACATTTTTTGGGATATTAATACATGGTTTTAATTGCAATTAAATGTTATATTGCTTCATTACCTTAATATTTGAGAAAGCACACACATTAAGTTTGTTAGCGGGCGTGATTGGCTCACTCACACTAGCAATCGCCTTTGGCGCTTGATATGGCAAGCAAAGATGAAATATTCTAGCATACAATATCGCTCTGTTTTGTATACAGAATGCGATCTGACATTTGAGAATCGATAATGGACACAACTCCATGTTCATTATGCTTGTGTTTGTTGATTAGCCAGATGCGAGATCTTAATTTGGCATCTTTGGAGGGCGAGCAAATAGAGAACTCGGGTTAGACGCTTGTAGAACGACTAGACTTAGATCAATACGGTGTTTGAGTATGATATATGCTCTCATTAGGATCGAGACACTCCACCGTAGCATGTATTTCATACTACATCTACTTGGCGACAATTAAGGAGGTGAAGGAATGGATCCCTGCTTCCTCACTGTGTGAGCCCTCTGAGTCATTTTTACATGACCGGGTTATTTTGTTTAACCAAACATTCTATGTACTCTCTGACTTTTGATTATGTCACAAAGTGAAAGAATTAATACTCAGTTACTTTGACATGTTACTTACGGCCATGAGTGATTCGGCCTTCCGGGACATTGCTGGAAAAGTGGTTAATTTTGAACTAAGTGACATAAGGGAAAAAGGAAGACCATTTGGAACATCCTACGATATATTCATTGTCAACAACTTTGGACGCTAGTTTAGATAATGACAAAGTGTGAATGTATAGGCGAAAGCTTCGAGGGGTTATGCATGCTCTTATATTGTGACGGTTTAGAGATGCTTGAACCGGTGTATCCGAATGGATCTAGAGTACTTGAGATACCATTTTCATTTTTTTTAGGGTTGATGTCTCTATGTTGGCTCTATAGAGTTTCTAGTGTAGGNGTCTAGGGTACTTGAGATACCATTTTCATTTTTTTTAGGGTTGATGTCTCTATGCTGGCTCTATAGAGTTTCTAGTGTAGGGCTCCCAAATTACAGGTGTGCTTAGTAGTCGCACGACGGTCCATTAGCCTGTATGAATTTATGTTGGTGTATATAATGGATTGAGAGAGATGACAATGTCGTGCCACCACGTGTGAGTGAGAGATGTTATATATTGGTTGGGTAGGGATAAATAAAGGTAATTTAAGGTCTAAAATAGTAATACTAAATGAGGTTTTTTTACTTTTAGTATTATTTAAAAAAATTATTTTTAATTTTTTTTAAGTGAGAGAGGACGATGTGATATTTTATTTTTGTTTTTTAAGCGAGAGAGAGAGAGAGAGAGAGAGAGAGAGAGAATGAATGTTAGTAAATATGAGTTGACTTTTGAATATTTTTTTATTTATTTTTAAAATTTTTGATTTTTGAGTTTCTAATGTTATGAATTGAATTGTAGGATCAAATTATTGAAATTAGAATTTTTTTATTGGGCTTAAATTTTTTGGAGAGTTTGTGGAAGGCCTAAAATTTTCCTGGATTTAATTTTTTATGTGGACTAGTTATGTATTTGAAATTACGGGGCCTTTCAAAAATTTGGGGCCTAAAGCCCACACTTTTTTTTAATACAGTTGGGTCGGTCCTGTAGTTGGGTCATGAACCTAAATCGGGCGCCTATGGTGGGTCGACCCAAATTAAAGAATGTCCAAAGGGCAATGTCTTTTGGACGTATCTTTTACCACAAAAAATACATGTCTATTAAATATTAATAGACATGTCCTTATCGGATGTGTCTCTTAATGACACCTATTGGTTGTCTATATAAACTCAAGACAATCCAATAGATGAGATATCTTTGGTAAATAATCAGACGTTAAAGTCTCCTACTATATCTCTCTCTCTCTCCCTACATAACGTTGAAAGACTTTTGTGCTGTGGAAAATCGGTGTTGATTCCTATTGTGTAACAACACCATACTGCTCTAGCAATCAAAGAAAAGACAATTTTCAGATTCTAAAGTATGTGGAACATCCTCAAATTGTTTTTAGGATTAAAGCAAATAAGGTATATCTTTTATTCTATGCTTCTGCAATATGTATACGATTCCCAACAAAAAGTATATTATTTTTATTTTAGCTATTAAATTTTTCAATACACACTCCAACAGATTTTATATATTTTAATTACTACTTTTAAATATTAATTTTTATATTTTGTACATTTGTTGGAAATGTTGGAGGGAGAGAAAAAGAATGGAGAGAAAGACAAATAATGGACAAGAGAGATGAGAAAGAACAAGAAGAGACAGAATATATTATGAACTATTTATTCATAATTATATTTTACCTATTGTTGGAAAATAATGTTTATCTTTAAATAACTAAATTTTAATTATTTTGAAGTTTTAACCATTCTCTTGAAAGTACTCTAATGCATGAATGTTTTCCAACGGTTTATGCAGAATCGCTACCTAAACATGATAGCCCATCTATCCAATGCTCCACTAGGAGAGTCAGAGGCTGCCGTGGGAATTGGAACTGTTGGTTCGTCGGAGGCAATCATGCTGGCAGGCCTTGCTTTCAAGAGAAAGGGGCAGAATAAGCAGAGAGCCGAGGGAAAACCATGCGATAAACCTAACATTGTCACTGGAGCCAATGTGCANATTGGAACTGTTGGTTCGTCGGAGGCAATCATGCTGGCAGGCCTTGCTTTCAAGAGAAAGGGGCAGAATAAGCAGAGAGCCGAGGGAAAACCATGCGATAAACCTAACATTGTCACTGGAGCCAATGTGCAGGTAACACACTATAACTCATCTCTCATTCTGTGGGTTTGGTGTATCACTTATGCTAGGCCTGCTTTAGGCGGGCTTTTTGTGTCGTAACTACTAGCTCCAAAGGTCAGGCTGAGGAGTCAAACCCCCAGATGTGCATTACGCCTTTCAATAGATCGAAATTTANTGTGGGTTTGGTGTATCACTTATGCTAGGCCTGCTTTAGGCGGGCTTTTTGTGTCGTAACTACTAGCTCCAAAGGTCAGGCTGAGGAGTCAAACCCCCATATGTGCATTACGCCTTTCAATAGATCGAAATTTAAATCAAATCTCATCAGTTGATCAATGTTATTAAGATATATGATAACATTGGGTGATTATTTATTGAAATTAGTTGATATTACGATATAATTTATTAAAAGTTGGCTCATTAAATTATTCAAGCGGATTGAATTTTTAGATCAGATTTGTCATTCTGCATGGAATCGAATGTGAATTATAAAATTAAAATTTGACGGATAATTAAATTGGATGTTGATCAGAGTCTGTAAATCGGATTTAGATTTGAATAAGTGGAAATCTAATTTGTTAACTGGTGTACTTGACATCTTATGAATACTAAATGCCGGCACAATTGATATTATGTGCGACTAAATACAAGTTTCCTAATGCTCTCTATGCGTATATATAATATATGTTTGTTGGGAGAAATTTGCAAATTACATCGAGGTGGAACTTAAGGAAGTGAAGCTGAGAGAAGGCTACTATGTGATGGTACCTGTGAAAGCTGTGGAACTAGTGGATGAAAACACCATCTGTGTTGCTGCTATCTTGGGTTCAACTCTCAATGGAGAATTCCAAGATGTCAAGCTCTTGAATGATCTTTTTCTTGAAAAGAACAAGCAAACTAGGTACTCAAGAGTTTTAAGAATCACTTACAGCTCAGTGTTGGGAATCTTCAAATTTTCAATTATATGTAATAAGTTATCTATCTCTGTTTTGTTCAATTTTGCAGGTGGGATACCCCAATTCATGTGGATGCAGCTAGTGGTGGATTCATTGCAGCATTTCTCTATCCAAAGCTCGAGTGGGATTTTCGACTCCCATTGGTGAATAGCATCAATGTTATTGAGCATGAATATGGTCTTGTGCATGCTGGAATTGGGTGGGTGATTTGGAGGAGCGAGGAACTTATCTTTTACATTAACTACCTTGGAGACGATCAACCTACTTTCATCCTCAATTTCTCTAAAGGTGACTAAAAACACATATAATTTTGTGTTTTTAAATCATGACACACTTGATTTAGCTTCTTAACGTCATCTTTCCACCATTTTTAGGTTCAAGCCAAGTCATTGCTCAGTATTATCAACTAATTCGCTTGGGTTATGAGGTGAGAGTCTACTGAGATGCATAAGAAAATCCAAGGGTAAATTATATTGACCCGTTGAATTATGGCATCGATCTACCTTCACACCTTCAATTATGAATTTTTTCTTATTGTCTCATCACTTATTTGCATGGTTTTCATGTTGTCTCAAAACCAGACGTCTTTGACTAAAAATGTCCACATTTGTAGTTAAATAGGTGTTTCCAATGTCTACAATATGAGTATTGTAAAACCAATAACCATAGTTGGATGGATGTGCAATATGATATAGTGGTGTGGGCAATGTGAAACCAATAATCGTTGGTGGAGACACATAAAGAAGGTAATATTGAAGAGGATGTAATATAGGAGACTTAGTTGGAGGGATCAAAGTGTAATTCTCTCAAAATTCAATTTAACGTGTGTAGCTGCATATTGAGCTTATTATCATAATTAACTGGTTGTGGTAAAAATATTTTGTTCTTAGGGATACCAAAATGTTGTGGAAAATTGTGGGGACATCGCTCTCGTGCTGAAACGAGGATTGGAGACGACAGGCCGATTCAACATTGTGTCCAAGGGCAATGGTGTTCCGGTGGTTGCCTTCTCTCTTAAGGAGAAGAGTCGGTACAACAAGTTTGACGTGTCAAATATGCTGCGTAGTTTTCAGTGGATTGTGCCTGCCTACACCATGCCATCGGATGCTCAACATGTGATAGTGCTTCGGGTTGTCGTGAGGGAAGATTTCTCATGCACCCTAGCCGAGCGCCTAGGGGATGATATCACAAAGGTCCTCCATAAATTGGATACCCTCCCTGCCAAAATAAGTGCCAATATGATGTCCGGTCATCAAAAAGTGAAAAATGGCACCGTGGTGAAGAAAACAACACTTGAGACACAGAGAGAAATAACTGATGCTTGGAAGAAATTTGTCATGGATAGGAAAACCAAAGTAATTTGCTAGGACTTTGATGGAAAGACTCTCTCTTTCTTTTAACTTCGTTAGTGTTCTAATTCTAAACAGGAATTGTGTTGCCTCTTTCTTGCAAATTACGAGAAACTCTATTTCGCTTTGGATTGAAGACGTTCTGCTAATGACTTCTACTTCTTCCTCCAAAAATAGATATTATCGTTTCTATCAGCATGCTAAATAGCTACAAGCATGTTATTATTGTGAGGAAAAATAGGAGCTCTAGACAATATTCTTGTTTCTCGCAAAGAAAAAATTTGAGAGGATATGAAAAATTATAACAAAAAACGAAGAGAAAAACCTATTGTCATTAATGACAAGGAAAAGAAAATATAAATTGCAACGCTTTTATGCTGATAAAAATCGTCCCATGGTTGTTGTGGTAGTTGTGCAACTAGCATTAATTATTTGACTAAAGTAGATTTTAGTAATTAAAACTTTTTTTAGTCGACTTTGAGTTTAAATTAAAGTGAGATCAACTCATTGTTTCAAGTAAAATTTCGTGTGCTCATGTTCTACTCCGTACAAGAACAACATAATATATTAACTTACTCAAATCATGTAAGAGATAAATGATAAAATAGGCTTCAAAGTCACCTACTTGAAATGTAAAAATAGAGGATGGACAATACAGGATTTNTATAAGAGCATCTTCAAACCTAATTCAAATTTAGGCTCAAATTTGAGTAAAAACTTGGTTTGATATAAAATACTTCAATGGGCAAACTCAATTATCTACTTAAATCTTTTAAAAAATTCTCTTATTTTTCCAAAACTCATTTTTTTGTATCATTCAAATTATGATATTTGATAAAATAAATGAAACTTTCATATCTCTCCACAAATTGATAATTCAAAAAAAAAATGAATATGTATACAATACTACATGGGAATAAATAAACCACTATAGAATTCTAAGATTGTTCTAATCCTTTATCAGTTTTTATAAATCCAGAGAAAGAAAAAGAAAAAGAAAAAAAATATAACTATTTTGATATGGGCTTGGTCTGAAGAACATAAAAACATACTTGGTCTGAAGAACATAAAAACATACATTTTTAATAAAAATGGAAGATTGACGAAATAAAATGATTAATTTTCTAAATTTATGGGTAGTGAAGGCTTAAAATTTCAAGAAGAATTGGTGGTNTATAACTATTTTGATATGGGCTTGGTCTGAAGAACATAAAAACATACTTAGTCTGAAGAACATAAAAACATACGTTTTTAATAAAAATGGAAGATTGACGAAATAAAATGATTAATTTTCTAAATTTATGGGTAGTGAAGGCTTAAAATTTCAAGAAGAATTGGTGGTCTGAAATTATACTACCGATAATGTTTAACTTGAAAAAAATCAAAGAAAACTTTGATAGGTAGGCTTAGGGTTTGTATAGTATAAAAGATATGTGAAATTAGTGTTTTAAAAAATAAAAGACATCAAGAAGATGGAAGATAAAAAGGATAAAACTTATCTACAGGCCTTCAAATGATTTNTCAAAGAAAACTTTGATGGGTAGGCTTAGGGTTTGTATAGTATGAAAGATATGTGAAATTAGTGTTTTAAAAAATAAAAGACATCAAGAAGATGGAAGATAAAAAGGATAAAACTTATCTACAGGCCTTCAAATGATTTGTGAAAGTTTCAGTGGTGTTTAGTGATAGAAGCAGTGTAATAAAGAGNTAAAAAGGATAAAACTTATCTACAGGCCTTCAAATGATTTGTGAAAGTTTCAGTGGTGTTTAGTGATAGAAGCAGTGTAATAAAGAGAGGCAAGAAGAGGCAGATAACAAGTCATCGAATAAATCTTTTAGTTTTGGATAGGTTAAAAAGTTACCATTAGAAATTTAGTATAGAATTTGAATCTACTTTAATTTGGGTCTAGAATAAGTTCGATTTTCATTTGATATATGTTTGAGTCTAAGGTATGAGAAATTTTTTTTGGCCATTTTGACTCAAATTTATATTTGAGTCAAGATTGGAGATGCTCTAATATAAAACAAGGGTATTTCAACAAGCACATCTTATAGTCTCAAATACACTAATTCAACGATCACGAAATTAACATTTTATCCGTTAATATTTTCCCCCAATTCAGTCACATCCAATTTTCGCTCTTTTTATGGGTCAGGAAAAAAGGAAATTATATTACTATAAAAAACAGAAACTCGAAAAAAATAAAAGATCTACAGACTATAAGCCAGAGTTTTAACCGACTCCTACTCTTCTCTCTGAGGCGATTACTCCNTCATTGTTTCAAGTAAAATTTCGTGTGCTCATGTTCTACTCCGTACAAGAACAACGTAATATATTAACTTACTCAAATCATGTAAGAGATAAATAATAAAATAGGCTTCAAAGTCACCTACTTGAAATGTAAAAATAAAGGATGGACAATACAGGATTTGACACCAATTTCACATTAGTTGGGCAAAAAATTTTACATGTGCATATATGTATCAAGTTTGTATTATGAGTTGGGCCCTAAGAAGTACCACACTTTTGTTAGCAGAGCGAACACCTATACGAGCTTTGGTTCAATAACATGAGCGCATGTTGCCAACGCCTGCCCTAACCTAGCTCGAGTGTGGATGCGGACTAAACCTTATTTTTTTTAGAGAAAATTCGTTTAACTAATTTGGTCCAAAATTCTTAACCCAAAATTTATTTTTTGCCTATTGGAATTCAAATTTCGCACTGGTTAAAATTTGAATTCAAATTCATATCTGTTCATTATTTGGTAGACATCAATGATGTCTTCTGTGTTGTATCTATTCGTATGGTAGCTGTTAGAAATAGTCACCGTTATGTCTATAAATAATCCAAACTCATTAGCATTCCGCACAAATTACATTACAAATTATGGCAGTCATCACATTCATAAATTTGTCATTCGTAGTCTACAGTTTCTGAGAATACAACACACAATTCTAATTCGCTCGACAATTGAATTAGAGTGCTTCTTTCAATTGCATGAAAATCATTGTATCCTAAAATGCGGACGCTGAGATTTTCATAAGCACCAAGTGTGCGGGCGAAATCTGTCTTAAGGGCATACTGTCAAACACTAGCCTTAATCTACAAAATTTAATCACAGTTCCTGACTTGTAAATGGGTCAGTTTGTTTAATTATATATTTACATGCTACTATTTTGTTTATTCTAAATTGCATTATAGAAATAAGAGATTTCAATAAGTGATTTTGCCACATTTGAAAAATGCACCCAACATTAACGATGTTGCGAAGTATTGTATTAGTTTCTTCTTATCTCAATTAATATTGAATTTCTCATATTCTCTTTTAAATTATAGTATTTCATTTTCAAACTGGTGTTGAAACTTTGTACCAAAAAAAAAAAAGTTTTTGTTGTCACAACATGAAACCAAATAACAAAGTTAAAGAGGCAATTTGAAACCTTTTATAAGAGCATCTTCAAACCTAATTCAAATTTAGGCTCAAATTTGAGTAAAAACTTGGTTTGATATAAAATACTTCAATGGGCAAACTCAATTATCTACTTAAATCTTTTAAAAAATTCTCTTATTTTTCCAAAACTCATGTTTTTGTATCATTCAAATTATGATATTTGATAAAATAAATGAAACTTTCATATCTCTCCACAAATTGATAATTCAAAAAAAAAATGAATATGTATACAATACTACATGGGAATAAATAAACCACTATAGAATTCTAAGATTGTTCTAATCCTTTATCAGTTTTTATAAATCCAGAGAAAGAAAAAGAAAAAGAAAAAAATATAACTATTTTGATATGGGCTTGGTCTGAAGAACATAAAAACATACTTAGTCTGAAGAACATAAAAACATACGTTTTTAATAAAAATGGAAGATTGACGAAATAAAATGATTAATTTTCTAAATTTATGGGTAGTGAAGGCTTAAAATTTCAAGAAGAATTGGTGGTCTGAAATTATACTACCGATAATGTTTAACTTGAAAAAATCAAAGAAAACTTTGATGGGTAGGCTTAGGGTTTGTATAGTATGAAAGATATGTGAAATTAGTGTTTTAAAAAATAAAAGACATCAAGAAGATGGAAGATAAAAAGGATAAAACTTATCTACAGGCCTTCAAATGATTTGTGAAAGTTTCAGTGGTGTTTAGTGATAGAAGCAGTGTAATAAAGAGAGGCAAGAAGAGGCAGATAACAAGTCATCGAATAAATCTTTTAGTTTTGGATAGGTTAAAAAGTTACCATTAGAAATTTAGTATAGAATTTGAATCTACTTTAATTTGGGTCTAGAATAAGTTCGATTTTCATTTGATATATGTTTGAGTCTAAGGTATGAGAAATTTGTTTTGGCCATTTTGACTCAAATTTACATTTGAGTCAAGATTGGAGATGCTCTAATATAAAACAAGGGTATTTCAACAAGCACATCTTATAGTCTCAAATACACTAATTCAACGATCACGAAATTAACATTTTATCCGTTAATATTTTCCCCCAATTCAGTCACATCCAATTTTCGCTCTTTTTATGGGTCAGGAAAAAAGGAAATTATATTACTATAAAAAACAGAAACTCGAAAAAAATAAAAGATCTACAGACTATAAGCCAGAGTTTTAACCGACTCCTACTCTTCTCTCTGAGGCGATTACTCCTTGAAGGCTCATCGGTGGGTTCTTAATCCACTGATCTGGCAGAACTCATATCCCCAAATGTCCCGTTGAATTTGCTCAATCCCCTGGATTGTTGCCTTTGGTCCTTCATTATGGAGTCGATGGTGATCTTCGAGTCGGACTCCACAACAACTGCTTTGTATCCCTTTACTACTGTTATTCTGCACACTCTCCGGATCGCTTCTGCCTCTGTTGCAAGTGGCTAAGATGCGCACAATGAATCAACTTCCCTATGGATTCTCTCTCTCATCTTCACTCAATGTCAGCCACCTTATCTCTCTCTCTCTCTCTATCTTTCTCTCTCTCTCTCTCCCTCTTTCTTTCTCTCTCTCTCTCTGTGTTAGCC